AGTGTCCAGTGCCTTAACCACCATGCCACCTGCTGAGCCACCCAAAGTGGGTTTTTAGGCTACCGGTTCCAGGACTCGAACTGCAGTTAACTACACGGGAGTCTAGTGACACAACTATTACGCCATCTGCTGGTTCCCTAAATTAGTTTTTAAACAAATTCTAGTCTTTTGAACCTATGCGTATTTTTTAATATAATTATTTAATTTAATTTTATTCATTCATTTATTTTAATTTGACCAGAGAGAAGCAGAGAGAGGGGAAAAGTGAGAAAGCAAGCCACCAGGTCCGGAACTTAAACCATGGTAGGCCATGTGGGAGTGTGCAGCGCCTTAACCACCATGCCAGCTGCCAGTCCCTGAACCTATGCTTATTTTTAAGCTACTCGTTTTATGTAAATGTGTATTTCATCATTCACATTTTCCTTTTTATATAATTATTCCCTAATAATTTGTAAATATAGCTTTTTTCCCCCTTTTTAGTTTTCTTTTTGGGGGGTGGGGGTCTAAATCATCTCAAACTTGAGTTTCAAGTTTTCTAAGTAAATATTTTCCCAAATAGTTTTTTGATCCATTAATTTACAATTTGGGGCTTTTAATCTGCTGTGCAAACTAAACTGATGATGACCATATCTGCAATAAAGCAAAGTGATGCCCAAGAGAGCCTGTGTGTGAGATGTGGGGCCAAGGGCAGCTACACCCCAGCAACTCCGAGGCATCCCCAGCACTTGGCACAGCATGGCTCTGCTCCATCCCAAGTGTGCATCAGGGTCTGTGGGACCCAAACAGAACTACTGTTTCTTTTTTGGGCAGTTACAACTATTTGAGAGGACTGACATTCATAAATTCTATTCTTACAGATCTTCCAAAGCAAAAGAAATTTACTAACATTTTAAAAATAGAGTAAAACTTATTTGATCTTGTAATTACTTCATGTGTCCATGAAATCCTCTGTGTATCTAAAATTCAATGGAATCTCAGCAATCTTTCCCTCCTTATATCATGGTGCTATTTCCTCACCCTTGGAACTACTTTATCATGCCCGATTCATTAT